CCCCAAAAGTAAAAATCCCCCCAAAAAAAAAAAAAAAAAAAAGAAAGCTGCTACAAATAGAACTACCATATGACCCAGTAATTCCACTGTTAGGTATCTACCAAAAGGATAGGAATACCCTCAGTCAGAAAAAAAAAAAAAAACAATAACAACAACAACAAAAAACACCCTTCACATCCATGTTTATTGCAGCACTATTTACAATTGCTAGAACTAGGAATTAACTCAATGTCCAAGAACAGATGAGTGGATTGAAAAATGTGGCATATGTACTCTATGGAATACTACTCAGCCATAGAAAAGAATGAGACCCTGACATTTGAAACAAAGTGGATGAATCTGGAAGGTTTAATGTTAAGTGAAGCAAGCCAGACCAAAAGAGAGTCATTGTATGTCCCTGCTCAATATTTACTGAATATCTGCATTCTGTAGTAGAAACTGAAAGATGGGAGACAGGACTAGCAGTTAGCATAATGGCTATGTCGCTGGACTCCCATGTAGTCGACCCTGGTTAGTGTCCCGGACTCAGTGGGCTAAAACTCACTCCAGGCGCGTGTGCGTGCGTGCTGCCCAATATCCAGAGAGGGAAACAGAGGAGAAGGGATTGCGGCGTGGCCATCCGCCCTGGGGGGTGATTTCTCGCTTTCTGTCTCTCTGTCTCTCTATGTCTCTCTCTGTCTGTCTGGTGAGCGCACGCGCCCTACAGTGAAAATCTCTCCAAAAAAAAAAAAAAAAAAAAGAAAAAAATTTAAAAAAAAAAAGAAACTGAAAGATGGGAGGGTATAATGGCAGGGAGGGCAACTGTAGATACTGGAGACAGTATGATGGGGTAATAGGAGTGAGTAATTGGGGATGAGAGGGATGAGATTAGGGACAAGACAAATAACACATTTAATAGAAACAAAAATGAAAAGTTATCTGCTGGGACCAGCAGACGGCGTAATGGTTACATTGCTGGGCTCCCACATGGCCGACTGCAGTTCAAATTCTGCATCTGGAGGCTTCAAACTCATGCTGGCCCATGTGCAGTATACCCAAGATACAGAGAAGAGAATGGAGGTGAAGGGATTGTGACATGGCTACCAACCCCTGGTCATTTCTCAGTTTCTGTCTCTCCAGCAAGCACATGTGCTCTGTAGCAAAAACCTCCCTTAAAAATGAGAAGAAAAAAGGTATCGGCTAAAATTAATGCATACGGTAATGTCTTTGACTTGACTAATACGCATTATATTCATGCTGGGAAAAACTATGTTGTACACTGTAAAGATGTGCAATAATTAAATGTAAATTTAAATATAAATTAATTAAAATTTAAAAATAATAATTTATATTCTAAAAGTTAAATGAATAACATAAAAATTATAATACTTGGATGAGTAAAAATAAATGAAATAAAATATGCCTAGTTTTTATAATATTAAAGCACTTTGTACAGTCTTTATTCAGACATTTTCAAGAGAAAACTAGTGTCCTTAAATGTGCCATTTTTGGAAGGTTTTTGTTTATTTGCTTTCTTGCCAGTAGTAAGGGTTTATAGTGAATCATTGTGTGGAAGTTAATTATTAATTCAAAAACTTTGTATACCTGCTGTGGTCCAATCATGTATTACTCTCTAGAGATAAGAATACATAAATACTGTTCAATATAAAGTGACTTCTTCTACAATTGAGCGAAGTAGAGGATATTTTATGAGAGCAGACGGGAGAACCTATTAACCTAAACTGGAGTCCATCATGTGATTTTTTCTTTTCCAGATAACTATGAGCATATAATTTACCAAACACACAAAGACATGAGTGATGTTAAAAAGGGCTCTATTTAAAATTACGTGGAATACTAGGTATAATGTGAATATATGGAGAGGTGTGTTTTCCCTGTTTCATCTCCAACATTTTAGTTGTGTTGATTTTGCATCTCGCTAAAAGTGCTGGGAGGCACACATGGCTGCAGCATACTCTCGTATCAGGAACGGTGCCTTACATCCACAGAGCTGGAAGAAACACTGGCATATATCCACACATCTGGCAGAGACCTCTCTCTGCTACTTCTGTGTCTCCATCCAGGAAGCTCTGAAGATACTGTAAAATGCTAATATTTAATATTAGTGAAATGCCACAAGGGCTGGCACGTTTGCTGAAAGGCTCTTTTGCTTCGTTTCCAGGACCAGTGGTTTTGGCGAGTGAGAAACAATAGGGTGATGGATGGCTACCCAATGCAAATTACTTACTTCTGGCGGGGCTTGCCTCCTAGTATTGATGCAGTCTATGAAAACAGTGATGGGAATTTTGTCTTCTTTAAAGGTAAGAATGCTTTCCATGTATGTCTATGTTGTGTTTTGATCATTTTGTCCTGAGTTCTGTAACACACATAGTGGTGAATAAGTAAAACCTATTGAGTAGAGTTTAGTTATTAGATTTTATGAAATAAATATTATGTTGATTAGAAACATGAACAAAGTGAAGATAATTAATTTTCTAATGTATTTTTTCTCATTCAATATTATCATATGTAAGTCAATGCTCAGAGATATTCTGCTCTTTTAGAACTTTTAGGTTTATCTTAGAAGCACCAAAAAATAGACACATAAATAAATACTAAATAGCTACAAGTAAATAGCCATTTTTTCATTGACTAAAGATTTGGTTTGTTTTTGATAGTATTTGGTGTTCTTACTGTTTTTGTGTAATTAAATCTTTTATTCTCTTTTCATATATAAACTATAAAACTTCCCTCAATTTAGTTAGTTTATATAAATAGTTTCTAGTAAATAAGGAAGTTACTCATGGACCAGTAGGTGGTATAGTGGTTAAGGCACTAAATCCCACATGGCCAGCTTCATGGTTCAAGTCCTAGAATCACCAGCCTGTAAAACACATTGTGTGTGTGTGTGCATGTCAACGCAAAATCCTGAAAGAAGAATAGAGGAAGAGGGATTGTGGTATGCCTATCCCTTCTAGGAGATGATTTCTCACTTTCCTTCTTTCTCTCTCTCCAGTGAGCACATGTGCCCTATGACAAAATGTTAAATAAAGAAATAAAGAAACAAATAAAAGAAATTACTCATAAAGGCAAAGAAAAGTTGAAAAAATTCATCAGTTTATCAACATCATGAAATTTATTATGTGTTTATTATCAGTGATAAATTTTAATTGCACAAGTGTTCCTAAATCTCTAGTGTGCAAAAGATTACTTGGTAAAGTGACTGGTATTCCATTCTCAAAACTTGCTGATATTCAAAACAATAAATCTTAAATCATGGCCAAAAATACAGGGCCAAGTGACAGACTGAGTTGGAGCATCGATGGAATTATGAAGATCATATGTGAGTGGAACTGAGGAGAGAGAATAGAGTGTAGAAAAAATATGACTGAACATATTGTCCAAGAGCCTAAAAGACAGAAAATAAGCCAGAACAAGGATAGAGGTGGAGGCAAGGAAAAGATCATCTTAACCCTGAGAAAAATGAATTTTCCTGGGAACCAGCAGTTGGCGTAATGGCTATGTCGCTGGACTCCCACGTAGTCGACTGCGGTTCGGGGGGGTGATTTCTCGCTTTCTGTCTCTATGTCTCTCTCTGTCTGTCTGGCGAGCGCACGTGCCCTACAGTGAAAATCTCTCAAAAAAAAAAAAAGAAAAATGAATTTTCCTCAGGACCAAACTAATAGTATCTGCAGTAATGAAAGGGGTAATAAAAACATGAGTTGTGGGAACCACTTGTAATGTTTTAGGTAAGGTTCAAAATACCTATATAAAATTAAAGTGTATACCTGGAATTTATTTTATCATTATAGATTTTTCCTTGAGAAAACAAACAGTTTAGTACATTATACAGTGGGCATATTGGAATTTTGAACACTTACTAACAACACATGGGGCAAGTTACTCAATTTTCTTTGCTCGCATTTCCCCACCTAAAAAAATGGGCTTGATATTATTCTCCATCTCAGGATTATTTTGAGGACTTGTGATATCTTAGACGATGTAAGCAGGCCTTTAATATATGCCCGCTAAGTCTGCTGTTAGTATGGCTACTATTAATATTTTTGCCCTCCTTGTCTGTTATAAACCATACACATGAAGTGAGCATGTACTACTCTGTACAAAGTAAGGATACCACCCAAGGGCTGTGAGTCTTAGGGGCCCAATAACTTCCCCTTCCTTCCTACACTCTCCTTTGGTCTCATGAATAGTAGCAACAGGAAGAAGGGAAGGATAAGCCCTGAGGTAGCCTTTGGCTTGAGGACTGTCCCAGAAGGCCCTGTCTCATCATAGGATTAATAGAACTTACTCTCAAAACTGCCTGAGGAAAAACCACCATGGTCATAAATCAGTGCTCAAAGAGCTCTTTACTGCCTCGGGGCCCTCTCACTTCTATTCACTTTGCCTCTCCTCTCTCACTGTGGAATGGCTAGCCCCTTTTCATCTTTCAACAGCCAGCATAAAAGGCATGTCCTCAGTGCTCTCTCTGCCCACACTTTAAATAATACCTTCCAGCTTGCACATAGCACTTGTAAAGATATGAAAATACAGCATTAGAATGCAAATTCCATGAAAGAAGAATCTCAGTTATATTCTCTGTGCCTATGCAATGCAATCTAGACTCCCAGCAAACATTTTAACAAGAACATTATCATTGAATATTGATTTAACTCCATATGTTGTTTCTTGTGGTGTTAATGACACCAATAACTTTATCTCTTTTATTTAACTTCTAGAATATCGTGTGTAGCAGTGGTCTCTTCTGGTGTGTTGTCAGTATCAGGAAATATCTACTCTTACAACTTTTGTGAGTCCAAGGACTCTGGTGCCTGCTTCTTCTGGCTTACTCTTACCACCAATGTAGATAAACCTCCTTTCAGTCTAGCTATGACATGCAACTCCCATGCTTGGAACACTGTTACTTTTCTAGAAAGAGCCAGAAGTTCTTGGCATTCCCAGTAAGACCACTTCTTCCCTAGTCTATACCTTGCCACCAGCAGGAGAGAAGTAAGAGTCCCAGAATCCTGGGTTTTAGATGAGAAATCATGCCCCTTACCTACCCTAGCCACAATAATAATAAGCAAGACATCTCTTCTTGACACCAGTCTTTATTACCTCAAAAAATCCAGATAATCACATCATTCCTCATCCCAAGACTATCATCACCACTTTGTGTGATGACCACAAGGCCATAGTGGTTGAAATCCTTTGCCTAGTTGAATTTTCTATATATCATCTGACAAACTATATATCACTTATTTATTGTCTATTTGTATCCTTTGAATAGTAATTATGTAAGGGAAAGTTTTTTTTTAATTGTACTAATTTTAGCTCCTTTTATCCCTGCTATCCTAATCAGAATTTGAAAACTTTTTCTACAATAAAAAGTCATAAATATTTTAGCCTTTGCAGACCATATGCTATTACATAGCCTTCTTTGTTTCTTTTGTTTCTATCCTTTAATTTTTTTAAAACCTTGAAAAATATAAAGATTTCTAGATTTGGGCTATTCAAGACCAGCCCACACTCACAGTTTGTTGAGTTAAGAAATACATAAAATATAATAAATACTCAAACAGTACTTATTGAATGAACTAAAAAGAAAGCCCTAATCTGTATTCACAGCTCTATACATTTTGGTTTCACCTTGTACTAGCCATATTAGATCATGTTCCTAATGGAAAAGAGTAAACATTACTCTTGGAAAGTTGCTCTCTTTTTTATCCTTTTTTGTCTTTCTTTTCATCTGTTTCCCTTCTTTATCTTTGTAGAGATCTTAATTCATGTTTTTCTCTTCCACTAATCGAATACCATATATTTAAACTTTTACTTGAATAGCTTTGTCTTTTGTTTCTTCTATTTAGCTGAAGTCCTTGTTTGAATATAAACTTACTTAATCATTTATTTACTAAAGGTGTTGGTATTGAGCTTACCTTCTTTTTGCATGAGAATTTAAAAGCATGAATTCAGCACTAAATATGAGTGCTTAATTATAAAATGTAAATATTGTCTTGTTATATAAAAATACCCATAACATTTTCTACTTATTTTAACTCTTATGCATAACTTAAGACTGACAGGAAGTCATTCAATATATTTAACATTCATATTTTGGTATAATTTATATATTTTTTGAACTTTGGATAAAATTATACATATATCATAGAAAATGAGAATTGTTCAGTCCCTACATTATAAAAACATGGAAATACAGTTTGTCATGTATATACATGTTCAATTCTGTTCTTAGCATAATCTTATTCTTTTTAAAGAGTGTTATGGAATATAAGAATGTTGTAAGGGTGACTTCTGCTTCTATTTAACAAATCAATTACTTTGTGTGATGACCACAAGGCCATAGTGGTTGAAATCCTTTGCCTAGTTGAATTTTCTATATATCATCTGACAAACTATATATCACTTATTTATTGTCTATTTGTATCCTTTGAATAGTAATTATGTAAGGGAAAGTTTTTTTTTAATTGTACTAATTTTAGCTCCTTTTATCCCTGCTATCCTAATCAGAATTTGAAAACTTTTTCTACAATAAAAAGTCATAAATATTTTAGCCTTTGCAGACCATATGCTATTACATAGCCTTCTTTGTTTCTTTTGTTTCTATCCTTTAATTTTTTTAAAACCTTGAAAAATATAAAGATTTCTAGATTTGGGCTATTCAAGACCAGCCCACACTCACAGTTTGTTGAGTTAAGAAATACATAAAATATAATAAATACTCAAACAGTACTTATTGAATGAACTAAAAAGAAAGCCCTAATCTGTATTCACAGCTCTATACATTTTGGTTTCACCTTGTACTAGCCATATTAGATCATGTTCCTAATGGAAAAGAGTAAACATTACTCTTGGAAAGTTGCTCTCTTTTTTATCCTTTTTTGTCTTTCTTTTCATCTGTTTCCCTTCTTTATCTTTGTAGAGATCTTAATTCATGTTTTTCTCTTCCACTAATCGAATACCATATATTTAAACTTTTACTTGAATAGCTTTGTCTTTTGTTTCTTCTATTTAGCTGAAGTCCTTGTTTGAATATAAACTTACTTAATCATTTATTTACTAAAGGTGTTGGTATTGAGCTTACCTTCTTTTTGCATGAGAATTTAAAAGCATGAATTCAGCACTAAATATGAGTGCTTAATTATAAAATGTAAATATTGTCTTGTTATATAAAAATACCCATAACATTTTCTACTTATTTTAACTCTTATGCATAACTTAAGACTGACAGGAAGTCATTCAATATATTTAACATTCATATTTTGGTATAATTTATATATTTTTTGAACTTTGGATAAAATTATAC